TTTCGCTGCAATTTGCATCCCAACGGCTTGCGAACCCTACAGACGCGTCATGAGGTCTTTTGCAACTTCTCAGGAACTCACCTGAACATGTGCGTGATTAGCTTTGTGGTGTGTCTTTTGCCGGTGGGTTTCTTCGCCTTGTGCTCCTATGTCTTGTTGGTGATGTTCCCACGTCGTGTCAATGACGCAGATGCTAGCTTTGTGCGAGCTTGCTCGTTCTTGATCATGCGCTTCAAACCTGGCTGCGAGAGCTTTACCATCGTTTTCCTTTTCCGAAACCTCATATTTGTCCTTTCGCCGATGATGCCTGCATCAGGCACGTTGAATTACAAAAGCATGAATATTTGTATTGGTTTACTGATACGCTGATAGTTATTCAATTTGTTTTAACTTTTCTTCGGTCCTGTATCTTCCATTGAAAGGTTGCCTCTTTGTGATGGGTATCTTGCTGGTGACGAGCATCATCTTGGTCGCTTACTTCCAGCCTTGGCGTTCTTCGGTGGCTTCGCAGCTCGACATAGTCGTCCAACTGATGCTCTTGATGATCTTGTTGCTCAACTCCCTCACGGTGCAAGACGTGAATGTGCAGCTCATTATGATCCTTTGCACACTTTGTGCCTCTTCACTGATCTTTGGAATTCTGGTGGCCACCGCATACTTCCTGGTACAATATGTTGCATCCAAGCTCCGCAAGAGGTTTGCCTTCTTCTTGTGTCATCAAAGAGGGTCCCTTCAACTTGAGTTGAGATATGTTTCTTTTGGAACTCAGATGTCGTTCAAGCCACTGTGTTTTCTTTGTGCAATGTATGGCTAGCCTCGAAGTGGAGTCAGTGGAGTCCAGACTTGAAACCGCAACTCGAGGTCGAGCTCTGGCTTTGTGCGACTCCTCAAGATGGAGCTGAAGAACAAAGGATGTTCCTCTTTCGTGGATGCTGACAACCTCACGGATCTGACGCAGCTCTTCCGCTTTGCGACTTGGAGGTTGGAAAAGGTGAGACATGGTCACCTGCTCATGGGAAAAGGCAGGAACATTGCAAAGTCTGAAAGGAAGGATATTAGGGATACACACATATATATATATAATATTTTTGTGGATAGCAGGCAGACGTCCTATCTTTTCCGCCAACAGGGTCCCCTTGGCCCGACGCAGTCGCCACGGCGGAACTCGTGTCGTGGCAATCTGAGTGTACACTTCTCGATTTGTGTTCAGCCAAATTGGAGCCTCATTTGGTACCCTCAAAGGATGTTCACGCCATTGTTCCCTCGGATTATATATTTACCATGGTTCCCTCTTGCGTATATATATATAATCCTTTGAGGGAACGGAAGCAACGGACCAGAACGGAGACCTTCGGAGACCTTCGGACGGCATACTTTGAAGATGGTTTGAGTATCATGAAATGTATTCAATGCATTACTTTCTCATAAAAAATGAGTCTTTTTTTATTTATCTGATCGATTCCAAATTCAAACACTGTTTGTTGCACCAGGTGAGCAGCGACACTCAGATGTTGCTTTTGCTTGGAACTCCTGGCGTGCTGAAACGGAAGTGGTGTCTCGGGGAGATCGCAACGGCTTACTTAGCCAAGGTGGGGGTCCGGATTGGCGTCCAGCATGTGTCAGCCAGGTCGGTAAGTCAAGTTTGGCGTAGCCATGCATACATAGCCATGTGTATATTATAGTCATGCGTAGCCTCCCAGACTTTTTGGGCCCCTGGGTTGTTTTCGTTTCCAGAAACACAATAGGTGGAGATGACGATCTTGAGTTTTCCAACTTTTGACCTGCCGGATGAGCTCTTCATCTCAAATTATCAGGAGATAGTCCCTGAAGTGGTGGAACTTGCCGTCTATGGTCTGGGGCTGTCAGAGGTGCAAATGGCCTTACGCTCATTGAAGCAAGTGAAAGACATTCCCGTTGGCGATTCATTCTCAAGGGGCCGCTTGAATGAAATCGTCAGCATCCTCACCAGGGATGTGGAGACGTCTTCTACACCGCTTACCCCAAAAAATCACAGTGGGCGTATCATGACGGCTTCGACCACAAGCTGGACAGACTACATCATCTTGGCGGACCCCAGCAACTTTGATGCCATCGCCACTGCCGAGGTCCTCGGTCGCTTTATGGTGAGCAATTTACCGGAGAAGGGCCTATCTCCATGTGTCTTCACAGTGGAAGATGATGTCTCCAAGGAACAGGGTTGCCGATGAGGAAGCACATTCGGCAAGAACCTTTTGAGCCCCTTTTAACCCCTGCAATCCCCTTTTAACCCAGGAGTTTCACCCAGGGTCTCTTTTTGCTCCTGCTGCCAGGACACTTGGAACATCGTTCTCCTGTTGACAGAGAAGTGTTTCCGCTCCGAACACATGGCTCATTGGCTTCTACAGGCCCGGGTTCCAGACCCCAAGCTCTTGCCAGTGCTGGCAGATACCAAGTTTCAATTTCCAAACTCCACTGAGCTTCGCAGTGCTTCAATCACTTGCCGAGTGGATCATACTGCCTACGCTCAAGTGATCAAAGCAATCCTTCTTGAAGTGGCACCTCCTTTCATTTGTTCTGAGAGCTCAGAAGTGGATCTTTTGATCCGGAGCCGGCAAATTTGTAACCGCTTGTATGGGGATGTAAGGCTTTTGAGTACCAAGATGGCCATGGTGGGACCAGCTCACACCTCTGAACGAGAAACCGATGCTGAACCTGCCTTAGAAAGTTCGGCAGGCCCAGCCGACCGCCCAAGTGTCACCTTTTCCCCTGTAGAGAGTTCGAATCTTAGTCTTCAGCTGTTGAACCGCGGCACCAGCAGCAGCGCACAGAAACAGACCGTCGGCGAAGCCGATGCCGTCTGCACGGCAGAGGTACATTTGGCCTCTGAAACCATCAGTCGGGCATTTTAAGTTTTGAGATCAGCCGGATCCGGCCAGTGTTGATCCAAGGTCAGGTGGCCCAAAGCATCAGGTGGATAGCCGTTCGATGCGGAAAAAATTCACGGTGCATGTTCCTACGTCAGGTGTGAACTCGGCCAGCACGAGGTAGACCAGCAATATCTCTCGCTCTATGTAGACTACTGTGGACTTGCCAGACATACTCGTAGCTAGATGTCGGATGATTCCATATATGTCATATTAAGAGGTCCCAGGAGTTTATTTATTTTTCTTCCACGGAAATGAACTGGCCATTTCATGTTCAGTCACCCTGCGAACTTGTTGGACTGTGACCATTTTCGCCGTGTAAACAGCTCTTAGACTCTAAACACCAAATCTCCTCCCCCACTTGAATGTTTGGCCAGTTCCGCTGTTTGCCTTTTGATGTCCGCTCGTAGATCCAGTCGACCCGTTGCTTCGGGCTGAAGAGTAGCCCAGAGCTTCTCCCAAGAGGCGGTCCAACGGTGTGTTCAGGAGCTTTACCGCAGCGCTACACCGGTCAGACAAGGTGAAAGGAGCGATCGAACTGGGCAAACTGGGATGAAGAAGACGAAGAACGTATCTATGATTAAGGATGGTTAGATGAGTTACCTCTTTGGCTGGGGTGTAGGGGTTACAAGTTATGTTGTTGATTGTTTGCTTTTAGGAAAGTGCCGTTGAACCTTCGTCTATTGACCAGCTTTTCCGATTGGGGTACCACTGAGTACCAGCTGAGCTTGGATCGAGCATGGGGTGACCTGCTGATTTTGTGTCCCGTGTTCTGTTCCAACCAAGGTTCCTAAAGAATGAAATGCAGTCTGTGAAGTGGAAGGAGAATAATTTTCTTTGTTGCTTGCCGTGCTTTTTCCCAAAGGGCGCAGCACAGCTTTCCAGGAAACGCACCAGCAATGCTTGAGACAGCCTAAAGACATCTAAAGACAAAGGGCGCAGGAGGCAGCATTTTGTTTGTTAGCCCAGGCTGATATTTTTGCCTAGAGCTGAAGAATGACTTTAGGGAGGTCTGTGGTTCTTCAGAAAAAGCCACATCCCCTTCTTAGAATAACCTTGAACCAAGCCAGTCATGCAAAGTGGCATTTGCACTTGTAAAGATATGAAGGTTCACAATCTGTGCCGCGTCGGGTTTTGGCCCAATCTCCGGCTTGCGAGGACCAGAACTACCAGTCCCCTCTCCGACATCGATTGGAGGGGTGTTGTCGATCGGACCATGTTCCACCATGTCCACCAGAAAGCTCAGGTGGTATGCATTGATATGCATTACTAGTAGTAGCAAAGGGCATCGCTACGAACGGGGCGCTCCTGGCCTTACTACTAGGAACAAGAAGCTACGTACTAGGAGCAAGGACGCTATTAGGTGGAGGCCATGCAAGTAGGTTGGAGGCCATCGCTACTAATTAGTATATAATTGTATAGAACAAGAAGCTTTCTAGTATGTCTTTGAAGCTTCTTAGTAGCAAGAAGTCGAAGGTGCAAGAGGGCGAGAGCTCAGCAGGTCGTACTCATTACAGGGGGTCTGTAATGATGAGCAGGTCGCACTCAATGCGGCCACACAAGTTAGAAATGCACCATTTCATACCATGTCTTCCGTCTTCGTATTTCTTTTCGGTCCTAAGAATTCTGAATTGTATCGCCTTGAAACAGCGTATGATGTTTGGGTCCGACAAGGATGATTGGACCCTACAGGTTAGGAGCCACTTACGTAGTTCTTTGTCCAGAGATGTTTGGCGTCCAGATAGTGCTGCCGATATTCCCCAATCACGACTCCTTCGCACGGACCCGTCCGTTGGGACACGGACCCGTCCGTTTTGAACTCCAGGAGATGGCGGATCAAGCACCCCGACGTTCGGATGGCGGAACGCAGGGTTCCTGCCTTGCGAGGTCAGCTGAAGGGCATGATTCATCTTGAAGCATCTTGATTGCAACTGAAAGCTGCATCTTGCATCCTTCCAATTCGCATAGCGCATCGCGTTGGAGAGACCAATTCCGATTGCTGTGACCTTTGGCTCAGATTCCTCAGTGTCCGTGCGCCAACGGCATCGGCGCCAACGGTGCTTCCACGCTTTGTTTTGGAACACACGGAAGACCGCGATGTGGGCCACCTTCCACGTCCTGGGCTGAGTAGCTTCTTGTTACTACTAGCAAGAATGCCCCTAGTAGCGATGTTAGGAGCACCAAATAGCGTCCTTGCTCCTAGTAGCGATGCCAGGAGCCCCTAGTAGCTTCTTGTTACTACTAGCAAGAATGCCCCTAGTAGCGATGTTAGGAGCACCAATAGCGTCCTTGCTCCTAGTAGCGATGCCAGGAGCCCCTAGTAGCTTCTTGTTACTACTAGCAAGAATGCTCCTAGTAGCGATGCCAGGAGCCCCTAGCTTCTTGTTGCTAGTTCCCACCACCACTTGGCGGTGCTGCTTTTTGAACAAAGACTGAAGCCCGCAAAGCGTGGACCGTGCTCTTGGTGGGGGGGGTGCAGCCAACGTGCTGTCCAAGTTTTACAGGGCCCCCTCTTGTCCAAGCACTTGCCGTGGGATACGGCCTTTCCACCATCGCACCTCCAGATTCAGAAGGTCACCCCTTTTCTTCCTGCAAGCAAAGGTTGATGCTCAACAAAAGCATTCAACACCATGGTGCCAATCGTGGTGTTCTGCCAGTGTTCACCTTCTCGCCTTTCAAGCCGGAAAAAGATTTTTCCAAAAACAACCTTCATCCACCGAGATCCCGGCGTCCCAAACGGACACTGAATCGATGTTGATTCCAAGACCACTGATGGAACACGTGATCACTGCTTCTTTCTCGTCTGGCTGGCCGCACTTAACCCATTGTTCACCAATGTGCCCTGCCCAATGCAACAGACCCACCCACGGTTCAGGAGCAACCGAGTCGTGGCAAGCTCGAAAAATCCTCAACTTTCAGAGCTTCCAATTGGCGGTCTCCGCTCATTCCACACTGAGAACGGGTGAGCCTTCTTCACGGTCCACCCCAGAGCACGCTGCAAAAAACAGTCAGCTCACGGTCTAACCATGTCCAACCTGTCAAGCTGCAACTTAGCGTTCTCCTAAGGGTGGGAATGTCAAGCTCAGTACTTGCATACAGGATGAAGAATACGCAAATGTTGCATCAGTCGTGGCCTGACATGGTACTCCTTTGAGCATGCTAAACAAACACTTCCCGCTGCCCAAAAGCGCACCTTCGGCTTATGGCCATGAGAGTGTGTAGAATGCATGAAGAGACCTCTTCTAGTCTCAAACACTCGATGACAGTGCTCACATTGATATGCTTGTTGGGCCACAGCCTCCATTTTTGCTGGAACAGAAATGAACACCATGTTCGGCGTTGCGCTGTTCCATCAGCGGTGCCCATCTCTTACAGATGGCATTGCGATGAGCAATCCTGATGGCGGCTTTTTCGCCCAAGTTGACTCTGGTTTTCTACTCTTTGCAGTGACTGATCAAATATCTCCAGACACTAAATGAAGCGTCCTCCCCAGGCCATCAACCTTTAGGGCAAAACTACCCATGCCTGCAACAGTTGCTTACACATAGCGATGCCCATGCATTTGGATGGGCATTGAGATCAATCAGCTGCCAGATGGCTTGTGGAATGTGCGAAATGGCTCGCGCAGCCAGAGCGGCCAGCACTTGTGTGGATGCCCGCACTACAACATCCGGGTCAGCATGTACCACGCAGATGGCAATGTCATCAAAAAAGGACATGTGAATTCAGACTGGCAGCGCCGTTTCACTTGCCTTTGGCATGTGAATATATATATATATAATGAACTTACTGTGACTTTTACCGCAGCCGCCTTGAGCTGTGAATATCATGAATTTACTGTGACTTTTACCGCAGCCGGCTTGGGCTAAAGGTCAAAAGTGTTCGCATTGGTAGCGGATCTGTTACGAAGTTCCACTGAGACCCTCTGGGGTCTCAAACGCACCTGCTGTTCCGCTAGTAGATTCTGCAGCTGTCTCAAGCATTACGAGCTTGAGAGCCGTCTGTTGAAGGCACGGATGGCGGCATCCACTCTGCGTTACGAGCAGAGGAGCTACAACGCCCAGGAGACGAAGTCTGGGGTTCCAGTCTACGATGGAAATGCTGGTGGCTTCTTTGAGTGGGAGTCTAGGACTCTTGCAAGGTACCACTCAACAGAGAAGACTGACCTCTGGAAGCTTGGCAGTCGGCTGGTAGAAGGGCTCACTGGAGAAGCCTTGAAGGTGGCCATGCAACGGGCTACAAGAAGTTGAATGAAGAGACAGCAGTCCCGGTGCTGGTTGATAAGGTGAAGAAACCCCTTTTTGCGTTTGCATCAGCTGAGGCAAGAGAGCTGTACAAGATGTAACATAGACCAGGAGTCCTCAGCCGACAAGGTGGGCGATGGTGGGACATGCATGTTGCAAAGGCTGGATCCAAAGATGAGCCTTTCTGAGACCTTGCTGTCCCAATGAGCGCCTGATGGTCATGACTTCCACGTTCCAGGTTCCAAACGTGGCTCAACACATGTCTGGAGGTCAAGCAAGAGATAGACTCCAGATCAAGGTTGGACGTATGACTCCACCAGCAGAGCAGTCGGTGGCAAGACCAGCAAGACTCAAGACCTCGGTGTGCCGAAGGCTGCAAGTTCAGTAGAAGAAGAACAAATGCCTCTGTGCAGGTGAAGACTTGTACCGTCTGTGGTTACCAGGAGAAAGGACAGAAAGAACTGCCAAACAAGCAGGTCAGTACGAGTACATGTCCTCACAAGATCTAGGAAGTTCCAAGAAGACTGCCTGTCTGAAGGAGCGCCCCAAGCAACTTCAGCGAGAGCTTGATGGAAAAGTCATCAGGACCAATGATTTGATCAAGATGTTGCAAGAGAACACTGATGAATGGGCATGGCACGATCCCTGGTATGATGAGTACCACAATTGCGAGCCTGGGCACCCACGGTGTCAACAAGAACACGACATGGCATTCAGCAGAATGGAGAATCAATGCTCAGAATGAGAAGCTGCTGATTAAGGGTTTCACTCTGAAGTATTGCTTCAGCGAGAAGTCCTACAATGGAGTAGGAGGCAATGCAACCAAGGCATCAACGATGTTCAGAGTGGGTTTTGCCATTGAAGTTGGAACAGCAACTCTGAAGGACATGGAGTTGAGATTGAGCTGTGCTGAGCCAAACAGAATGGGCTGTTCTGCATCAATACTGGAGCATTGGAAACAGCAATGCGATGTCGTGGTGGTAAGTTACCACGCCACCTGAGACCACTTCGTGTTGGTACCGTCAAGCTCACTGAGATGTTCTGCAGTGGTGGGAGCCGACGCTGTCTGTACACGGATGCAGACGAGCTTGCTCATGGACTCGACGAGGACCGAGCCCGCGACATGTGCACGCATGAATTGGGACGAGGTGAAACCAGGTTGGACTCGGACATGACCGGACATGAAAGGACCCATGTTTGGACGCCGCAGCTGTTTTGACCCAACAGGGCAGTCAGATTCCACCAGTCAAGTTGGTTGGAGTGGAGGACACAGCAAATCTCAATGCTCCCTACAAGAACTGGAAGGATGCCAGCGCCTGGCGGTGGCTGGAAGGATGGACGCCATGATCGATAACTGAAAAGCCTTCGTGGTTGGAAGCGGTCTTGAATTTGAGAAGATGAAGCGCACCAACCAACCAGGTGGAGCAAGAACACATTTGGCGCCAATGTCAAACGGCTCACAAATTTCCTGAAACATCAGGAGGGCACGCGTCCGATGCTGGGCACCAGTGACGCCGAAGCTCTCGAATCGGCAGCGCGACACATGTTTGAGCGGCGTCTCAATGCCTCCAATCGGAGGGCGTCGGGGGGCGCACTATTTATCCAATTTGGAAGTGTGACGATGACAAGATATACTATGAGTTCGTAGATCTGGAAGGTGACGGCCACCAAGCTTGTCCAATTGATACACGGCCTGCAGCTGCATTTGGAACCTAGTACAGGAGGTCTCGCCCTGCTGCAAGTCAAGTGCAGCAGCTTCCCACGAGCTCGGCGTTCATTTGCCAGTGCTGCAAGACAAGCTCCAGCCTCCGGGCTTCTGGTTCTGTAGGTCATGATATGCCAATGCTTTGGCTGCGTTTCCAGGTCGGAGTCTATCAACAGCTATACACGTGCTGGTGTTCCTCGGCGCAATACCCATACCAGCTTGCTGCCATCGAATCCTTCTGCACGCTGTTGACCATCCGCTTTGATCTGTCCTGAAGCAGACCAAATCTCCTACACCATACTCCTTCTGGATCGGGGCTGGGTTTGTCAGAATAGCTCTTGACACGCGGCTTGACATGTCCGTGCGGATGAATGCCTTCCGCGCCTTCTCACGAATTCTGGCGGTTCTGCCAAATTCAGTTGCACCATCGCTCTGCCCAGGAATCTTCTTCAAACACAGATCCTGGCTCTCGAGGCAATCTTCCTCCCATTGAACTGGCGCGAATCCCTTCACTCGCGACATCGAGTTCTTTGCGATAACGCACTGGCTTAGTGCTTCTGCAATTGCATCTCTTCCAGCAAGATTCAACAGCGATAGTTCGTATCACCATTGCCTTCAGAAATCCGCCATGCCTCTCTGTTCGTCCAAAGCATCTTAGGACTTTTTCAACTCCAATGTTTGTGATGATCGTTCCTCGTGATGCAAGCCCAGATGCGAACTCTCCACGATTGTGAAGTCCTCTATCTGTTGCCACTTCAGTTGTTGTCCTGCCCAAGATGACCATGTCTCTTGAAATGCCCTGTTGACTTCCTCCAACTCGCAGTCACTATCGTTGCTAGGCGAAAACGTGCGCCTTGATCAACCATGAACAAGATGCTGTATCTGCGTCCTGTGACGTTCTTGACTTCAAAGATGTCCACTCCAATAGCTCTGTTGAATTCATAAGTTCGTGGCAAACTCACCTTTGCTCTTTGCGCCCTTGGCTTATGTGCGTCACATCCTTCACATCTCAGGATGCGTGCAGCCTTTACAAAATTTGGTTTGGCTCCTGATGCTCTGAGGATTTCACCTAGCGCTCTTCATTCAACGTGTCCAAATTCGCGATGCATTTTGCGCACAGCGATGCGCGTGGCTTGTGGCAATGCCATCCACTGTTCACGTCTTTCTTTTTCATCTTTTGGAAGGTTTGGGCGTGGGATTTCTTCCAACATCTGCTCTTCCTGATCGAAGAGTTTTCTGCTTCCTGTTTGCTTGCCATCTCTCTCGGAAACGCGTCACAAAATGTCACAGTTGAGTGAAACAGTTCTTCCAGTGCAATCTGGAACGCTGGGCACTGTGGAGCGTCTTCCACAGTTCTTTGCGCTCTATATTTGTCCTTTCTTCCAGCCCAGTCCTTCAGCGGTTGGATTTCGCCACTGCTGTGGATAGATATGTCTCCAGGTCCGTCCCCTGGGAATGCCATATCCTTGGATCATGTTGCAGTCCTCCCCAAATTGAGATGTGATGTAGATCACAGGCATTTCTTGCCTTCCACACTTTCCACAACATCCACCATTTGGTTCTGGTCGTATCCCAGACCTTTGATCACAGTGACATGCTGATAGAAGATCTTGTCCAGGTGCTCAATCAGGCCGTTGAACAAGGCATCGTCCGTGATCTCCATGACCATGCAAAACCCAATAGAAAAAGAAGTGCTATGCGCTTAGGCCCGCCTGTTGCCTTCACCTTCTTGCCCCGGTCCACCTGTTCAGACTCCAGGTCCCAGTCGCCATGTCCGCGCGCCGTATACGCTCGCTTGGCGACATGGTCGGCGGTGAAACAAGGTTTCAAGGCTCCAGCAACCATGGCATCCTGGCTTTCACCTTTGCCAGGCCAGCTGCTTCTGGCTCTTGGCCATGATGGCTGTGGTGAAATTTGCAATGCCGTACCACCCTCCGTGGTCCATGGCGGCACCAACATTTGCACCACCAACATTGCCGTCTCACCTCCGTATACTCCTTCGTAGTCAGATGTTGCGTTGGCCTCATCCAGTCTTCATCATCTTCTTCCTTAGGGGTCCTTGGTCTCCTTGACCTCCCTCCTTGATGTCTTTGGCCTTGGCTTCTCAGGCTCTTCGGTCTTCATCTCCTTCTCCGGAGTTTCTTCTTTTGCCTTTCTCCTGGATGCCTTGAGCTCGCGCCTTCGAGCTTCTTCCTTGTCTTCATCCTTCTTGGGAATTCGTGAACGTCCCCTCTGTTCTTCATGCTCTAACTCCTCCTTGATCTCTTCCAGCACCTTCTTGGGATCCTTGTGTGCTGCCATATGCCATATTGAGAATCGTCTCGGCGTTGAGATCGCAATTCTCAAGCATTCGTTTGCTGTCTTGCCAGTCTGATACATGGCATTTATCCGGCCAGCCTTCTTGAGGCTCATGCGCAGCATGTGCTTCTCTTCAGTGTTCAAGCTGTCAATGGCCATCTGAATGGCTTCATCCTTCGTATCAGGATGTCGCTCGGCTCGATCACGTGTCCTGGAGCGCTTTCTGCGTCTTGTGTTTTCCTTGTACTCATGCCTCTTCTTTTCCTTCTCGGGCTTGTCTGCCTTCTCTGCGAGCCCAACATCATCATCCATCACAATGATGACCAAATTGTTCTCGGCTCGGTCCTGTCTCTGTGACCAGCCGGTGATGCTCCTCCCGAGCATGTCTAAGACCTTCTCAAACTTCTTGTCTGCCATGAGCGCCACGACGACGGCGCGCTGTTGCTCCTGTTTTGACCTACGACTCAAGCGCCAACGTCTCCCAGCCATGTCCCAAGCGTCCAGGAATGCCCCATAAAGAAAATGAGGAAAGAACAAAAGAAAGAATAACGGAAAGAATACACACAAATAATACAAAAATATGTATATAAGTCTAAAAGGCTGCGGTTGTCAATTACGAGACCCACTTGGATCTCCGGGATGGCTTGGGCCACTATGGGCTCCGCCTGTCCTACGGACTGCGCCAGGTTTTGTGAGAATAGCCGGCGTGAAGGTCATGCCATTCACTATGGACATGTTTCGTTACCCTCAAAGTAACTGACTGCCTCAACCAGCTCAGCCGGTCGACGGCGGGCTCACCTGGCTCACCCCAGGCTCTCCGACACACTCAAAAGAAACCACAACACACGGCTGAAATGCAGATCATAAAACGGCCTGAGTAAAACTGTCCATAGAAAGATCCGACGCTCAGGAGCTGGGATTGGAGCAAAAACAAAACGAAAAAACCTTTGAGAATCAACGTGGCAGAGCGGGTCGGAGTTATGCCAAATACAGTAATTTGGTGTCCTGCGAAATGTGGTGTTTTCTTTGGAGAGATCGCATTTGTCTTGATCAATTTGAAAGCACCTAACAAGTTGAAGGCAACAAACCCACTTGTCGATGTTGGTTTCAGACTGATCTTTGCAGAAATTGCGATGGTTTGCCCAGGTTTGGGGACCTGGTCTTTGTGCAGTTCTAGTTTTCGCATTCAATGCCAATGCAGAGACGTGCTTGCCCAACGGGATTCCTGAGCAGAATCGGCTGTACGTGTCGAATGCCACGGGCCAACCGAGTCCTATCCGCTTCGTGGCATATAACTGGGATTCCGCCCGAGTGATCAACCACGTGGCAGAGATTTTGGTCTCCGAAGTCTTGGGTTTCCATGTCTTACGAGATCCCGGCATCTTTTTCTGGTCGACCGATGGCATCTTGAAACTCGCAGGTTGTTATGACATGGCCTGTGCAGAACCCAATGCAAACGCGCCACGGGCAGATGTCTTGTTGGATACGTGGTTGACCAATGCACTATTGTTTTTTCGCGAATTCCAAGCGAAAAATGGCCCGGTTGCTCCGGAAGACGTAGGTTCAATGGGTTACGAAGGAAGAGATGGATTGTATGTTCAAGGGAAAGTCCGAAGAGCAGCTTTCGTTGACTCTGGCCTTCCTTTAGAATATTACGCAAATTACAACCTGTCCTTCCACAATCCTCAGAAATACTTTGACACTGTTTGGAGCTTGCCCACCAGTTCTTTGTTGAATTGCACTGACACCTTCTATGATCAACCCTTAGAATTCCGTGTGTCGAGTGCAATGCAGAATTATTTGCGGTGGACGGGAGACTCAGAAGGAGTGATCCAGCAGAATGGTGAATACTTTGCAAAGTGTCCAAGTGAACTACCTGCTTTTTGGATTGCGCCTTCATGCCGGCAGAATGTGTCACAATGCATCCCAGTGATTATGCAGGGGCAGGGCATGGCAGCATCTAGGCAGAATTTATGCCAAGGTGTTCTTTCTTGGAAGGAATATGTTATTTCTATAATGTAAGGACAAGATCATAGGCCTCAATCAAACAGATTCAAATCAGGAAGTCTTCATGCACTGGGCGACCACCTACGGAATTCCTATGGCGATTTCCCATCGCACTACTGCAAATGCCTTTGCGAACCTTGCGGACCAGTTCCGGTTTCTTTTTTATTGGTACGAACCAGAAACAACTCTCATCCACAAGGAGCCCACCCGCATGATCCTGCCGGAGTACAGCCCCAGTTCCTGGGCTGCCGGAGACTTCCGGACGGCTCCCTCTGCAACATACATCGCGAAGCTGGTCTCCCAACACCTGGAAGTCTCCAGCCCAAGGGTAAGAAAGTTCATTGAGAACATGAAGATCGAACTGTCACAAGTGGTTGAGCTAATGGCACCCAATGGCCTCTCGCAGCACGATCCGGTGACTTTGATGACCCCAAGCGATCTTCTATGGAGTTCTGCCTGCAACTGGATCAAAGCCAACGGTCACATTTGGCAGCAGTGGATTCCTGTAACAACAGACTGTAGCAGAGGTTTTGGCATCGTGAATGCGGATGCAACTCATGTTGCTCTGCGCAGCGAAGCTGTGAGCTGCGAGGTTTGTCCAGCCGGACGATTTTCCACCGTCCTCTCTGACGAGATTGGAACGACTTTTGTGTGTCAGGCGTGTGAAGCTGGTTGGCATCAGAGTATTGCGGGGCAAACGAGTTGCTTGCCATGCGATCCGGGTAGCTTCACCGCTTTGACTGGGCAGGCACATTGCTCTCCTTGTGCGCGAGGTAGTTATGGAATCTCTAGTACAGCCACCAGCTGCTTGCCCTGTTCTAGCGGAGGGAGCGAGCATTGGACGACAAGCAAAGAAGATGAAATGGACTTGAGATGGATAGAAGTGGAAGGAGCAACATCTCAAGGCTTCTGTCACTGTCTTCCAGGATGGCATTTGTCCCCTGTCAGTGGAGATTGTGAGCCTTGCATGGAAGGATCTTCTTGTGTGGGCGGTGGAGTGTTGCAGCTGCTTCCAGGCTACTACTCTGCTAAGGGTCACTTGGAGGTGTTTAGAGTGACTAATTTAACAAGGTTAAACCAGGCACTAATATCAAGAAAAGGCAGGAAAGGTATCATTTACGATCATGGATGGCCTGTAGGTAGGCGTGCCATGAGAAGAATGGTCTCGACGCCTTCTCAGGCGACCCTGAAAACCAAAGTGCAGAGGTTCTTGTAAAAGAAGCCGAGCCAAAGCCTGAGCAAACCTGTGAACACGTAAAAAACGACGGTGCTTTGCTAAAGAATAGTGATGGAACCATGCTTTATGGTTTCGTAGGCTTCGTTCACTGTAAAACGATAAAAAACAATCAAAAGCAATAGATATCATAAGCACGGAGGAGCAGCCTCGTTGCCTTTCAAAAACCAGTCACTTGCCACTCGAGCTGCTGCCAGACCAAAGGCCAAAGGGACCAAGCGACCGCCGGTAGTACCGCAGGCATCCGCGAACGACGCATCACTTGCCTTGCGACCAGGCTTGGTGCCAACTTTTGTCCTGCCTGTGTACACTGTGTATATCGCGCCTTCTTAGCCACGGCTTGACAAATGCCGAAACTCCTCAAGCACAGTCAACGGAGCCGCCAGGCAGAGCTTCGACATCCAAACGCAAAAGCATAAAAACAAACTCGTTCATGGTCGCAAGTGGCTGCATTCAGTGAGACAGTCACAGTCCTTGCTATGTTTGCCTTCACAAAAGGGATGATGCAAACACCAGGCCACTTGCTATGTTTCAACTTCAAACGAAACAAGACAACTTGAAACCAGGAGGGTCGAAGCAGAGGGCGGATAGCTCAAAGGGACAGGGACGACAGGAGTTGTAACGAAAGAGAGCTAGAAGTTATGCGGGTGTGGTTTTTACGCGTTTTTGTTGTGTTTTTCTTAGATTTTGTGATGAGTTGTAACGGAAAGGATCGACTTGAAACGAAGCGGATACACTTGAAATGAAAAGGCATGAGTTGCAACATATGCCGGCGTGCCAACATTGCGTACACTTGCGGTGAGATCCAGACAATTGCGGTGGTGCTGGGGTCACTTGCAGACACCTGCATACACTGGGCCCTCAATGTCTATGCTTCCCGTTGGGGGTGCATGACCACAAGTGTCCGCTGCAGCAAGTAGCCGCGGGTGGCCGCAAGCGACTGCTGGAGCAAGTGATAGCCACTGTCATCAAAATCAAAAAACATCATTTACACACATGTTCATTAAATATTATGAATATGTTTCAAACAAATGGTCTGAACATTTTTAGACAAAGTACCAGATGCTTCACCTGTTGAACCCTTGTTCGGTTCTAGAAGATCATAAACAGGCCATGAACGACCAGGTCCGACGAAAAAGATCACAACACGAGAACCAAGTGTTTCTCCGAAGCGCCCAGATGCAGGACCGAAAGTTTCGGGCACCCTGCAGAAGAAAGGGATAGAATTAGAATGACTAGGCCCACGGCACATGGAATCTTGCGGATGAGTCCAACCACAACGTACAGGCGGAACTTTCGATAGTGACACGGCAAAACGGCTTGCTGCAACACCATATGTTTTTTTGTAGTATATATATATATATATACGCCATATATCAACGAAACACCCAAAACGATACAGAGAAACCGCTGAGGTTCACCAGGTTCCGTACTCCGTTGCTTCGGTGATGCAGCTCGCTGCCCTGGCGGAGATCCGGGGACCTGTGCGGCGGGGAGGGATATCTCATCACCCAGTTGCAGCTTGTGCTTGCCAGGTTTGCAACCCAACGGCGCCTTAGATGGAACAAGCGGTTGCTTTTTGTTAGAAACGTGCAATCCCTTAGGGAAATATATATTATATATATTATATATTTTATATATATATATATACAGAAGGGGTAGCCATGGGGGGTGGAGTGGTGTAGATTGTGGAAACGCAGGTTTTTGTAAGGATAGTGATATGTAAACAATAGCAAATGCAAAATAGCTTCTGAAAACAATAGACACACCAAGAAAAAAGCAAAAAAATTAGACCAACAAGTGTCCGAAAACAAAAAACAAAAAAAGTTTAGACCTATGTCTCCTGCCCAGCCTCTCCTGGGTCCCTCTCCATGGGTCTGAACTTTTTGTTTTGTTTTTTTGGTTTTGGCTGGTCTGCCAAAAAGTAAACAAAAAATTGTTTTTATTCATTTGCAAGTAACTACTAGTTCAATTCTAATTTAATTCTATTAATTTTGAATTAAATATAGCTTAACTAAATTCTAAGTCAATTCTTATTCTAATTAAATGTCACTTCTATTTATATGTACATTCCAATTTGAATCTAAGTGAACTTTAAATTGAATTTGACTTGAGTATGTAACACACTTCTACTTTAATTCTAAGTTGAGCCTAATTGAATTCTAAATTGAGTCTATGTATTTTAAAATTCACTGTAATCAAATTACAATTTAATGTTTCTTCTAATTCAAGTTTAGTCAAACAATTCAAATTATGTTTGACTACTCTGGATCTAATATTCAATTCAAATTTGGGTTTACATGTGAATTTGCAACATGCTTCTAATTTAATTCTAAGTTGAGCATAATTGAATTCTATATAATTGAATTCAAATTGAGTCTGCCATTTTAATCAAATTGAATTTATTTACAACCTAATTCTCAATCAATACTGCTCTACTATCCAAGCCCTAGGTTAAACGTATCTAATTCAATTCTACCTTAGGTCTAGGTCAATTTCAATTTAAGTAATGGGTTTTGATTTAATGTTGTTCATTCAATTCCAATTTAATTCAATCTATTTCTCATTTATTTATAGTTCATGTTGTGTTGCATTAAATTGTAGTTTTGTCTATTCCAATTTCCAATTTACTTGTAAATGAGTTCTAATGTTAACGCCTTTATACAATTCAGATTCAATTGCTTTACACATCTAATTTTCTAATTTGATTCCAATTCAATGCAAATGGAATTCTAATTGGGTGTTGCTTCCATTCTAGAGAGTGGGTATTGCTTGGGGTGTGAATATATTTCATTAAAGAAAGCAAATACTTCCATATTGGAAAAACTTCATAAATATCTTTCATGCTCAAAGCAAGACCAGTTCCCTAGAAGTAAATTAGAATTTCATTCAATGGAAAATTAAATTGAACAAGAATAAACAATTAGAATTGAATCTGAATTGTATAGCAATGACATTAAAGGTAGCTTGAAATCGAATTAAAATGCGTGCATTGAATCCCAAATAAAGTAGAATCTATAGAGAGGAAACTTGAAGCAAAGTAGAATTAAACCATAATTGAAATAGAGTTAAATCTGAATTTACATATAAATTTGCATTTGGATTGAATAAGAATTAAAATAGAATTTGGTTATTTAGGGTTTGTAACTACTTGCCTTCTGATTCTGATGTACTTACCCAATTGCATTCAATAAGGGTAATAAAATTCACACTCTAAATTCAAGAAATATGGTTTTGCATGGGGGCTGCGTGGAATAGATTACTACATCCAAAAACTGTTTAGTAAACACCTAGCCTTATGGATTTAAACATTTTTGTAGTTCATGGTTGAATGAACAAATATGCTTACCAACTGCACATAGAGCATGAAAATCACAAGTTTCACAACCCTATCAATATGATATCATTCACCAAAAAGAGCAAAGCCTTACAAAAGAACAACTTTCACAACCCTGTCAATGTCATATCATCTGCAAAAAGAAAAAACCTCACACAGTTTATAACTTTCACAACCCCACCCCCCATGACTACCCTCTCTCTCGCTATATTATATATATATACAGTATATATATATTATATATATATACAGTGTGTATATATATGGTTTTTGCGGTTCTGGATTTGGTATGTATATGGTTTTTCAACTGTTCTGCGCATGTCCACTTCAGCTCTGGGTCGTCCACTTCAAGCGGCCCAAGATAGGTCAACATGTCCAAAAGACTCGGGCAGATCCTGCCAGTGCTGATCCGTTTTTCATGACCAGTCCTGTCAGGCAAGGTGTTGCACAGTCCTGTAAAAGCAATTATGCAGCCTAGTCGTCAGGGTGACCCTTTCAGGATCTTTCAGGTTTCTAGTTGACATTTGGGAAGTTGTTTCAAGACCCTCAATGGCCTTCTTCAAGCGTGCCCAGGTCCAGAGTGTGTCGAATGCAGTGGTGGAGACTATGTCACTTGAACTGATGTTTTTTTCTGTTTTCCATGGTCCTTCGCAACTGTTTCGGTGGTTTAGACATGCCTTTGGGCGCAGCATTGGTTTCGTTCGGAGATCAACTTCTTTCGTTTCCGGAAACATTTGTCAGGCTCAGCTATTCTTCTTGGCACTGCTGATTTTGGCTCTCATGGGGGGCTCACACATCGTGATTGCATTGCAGCATCGGAGCAGTGGTGCGCTGCATTTCCGACTCTTAGCCTTGGCCTTGTGCATGAATCAACTCATCACTTGCTCTCAACTCTTCTCCGTGATGGAACAAGTGCAGGGGATCATCTTGGAAGAACCTTTCGTGACTGGGACCCTGGGAGAAGATGGGAGAAGACAATGCATCAGCCGTTTTCGTCAGACAGCACGGTTCTTCAGAGAGACATGCATGGGGGTGGGAAAACCGTAGCCTCCCAAGCCCGGTGGTAGCGGCAAGAATCCCAAAACGGAACCCGCTGACTGTAGCAGTGTCGCATACATTCCTAGCGCATCCTCGCGCCAGCCCTTCCGTGGAAATGACTACCGCCAAACCAAGCCCCCTGGATGGTGGAGTAAACAAGCGAAGATAGTGGTGTCCGGAGGAGGTTGGAAAACCAAGCCCACTCTCGTTGTGCACCGTGTCAAGTGCGTTTTCAAGAGAATCCTGGTGTTTGTCCAAAAGAACGAAACCATATGTCCAGTGAACAATTACCTGATTCCCTGGTTTGGTTCAATTGACCGACAGACTGGCCTGAGGTGAGTTTTCTCGAATTCTTCTCATTTCTATCGTTGGAGGCAGTCCTTGGCTCGGTGCGAAGCATTAGTTGTGTCACTCGTGTCAGCGCAGAAGTAAACTTGCTGATCCGGACCTTGTTGATACCATGTTTCTTCGCTCTTGGGCCTTTGATGGCGCAAGTGGTACTTCGAGCCATTCTTGCCGTCCCCAAGATCACTTTGCTGAAGACCTTTGGCTTTCTCTCGTTGCTCTTCTACATCACCCTCTCCTCAACATTTGTCGAGCCATTTCGCTGCAATTTGCATCCCAACGGCTTGCGAACCCTACAGACGCGTCATGAGGTCTTTTGCAACTTCTCAGGAACTCACCTGAACATGTGCGTGATTAGCTTTGCAGTGTGTCTTTTGCCGGTGGGTTTCTTCGCTTTGTGCTCCTATGTCTTGTTGGTGATGTTCCCCCGTCGTGTCAATGATGCAGATGCTAGCTTTGTGCGAGCTTGCTCGTTCTTGATCATGCGCTTCAAGCCCGGCTGCGAGAACTTTACCATCATCTTCTTGTTCCGAAACCTGATATTCGTCCTTTCGCCCATGATGCCTGCATCAGGCACGTTGAATTACAAAAGCATGCTGATTTACGTATTCACACGTTGAATTACAAATGGTTTTATTCAATGTTTTTAAAAGTTTAAAGTTTCTTCGGTCCTGTATCTTCCATAGAAAGGTTGCCTCTTTGTGATGGGTATCTTGCTGGTGACGAGCATCATCTTGGTCGCTTACTTCCAGCCTTGGCGTTCTTCGGTGGCTTCGCAGCTCGACATAGTCGTCCAACTGATGCTCTTGATGATCTTGTTGCTGAACTCCCTCACAGTGCAAGATGTGAATGTGGAGCTCATCATGATCCTTTGCACACTTTGCGCCTCTTCACTGATATTTGGAATTCTGGTGGCCACGACATATTTCCTGGTGCAATATGTTGCATCCAAGTTCCGCAAGAGGTTTGCCTTCTTCTTGTGTCATCAAAGAGGGTCCCTTCAACTTGAGTTGAGATATGTTTCTTTTAGAAATCACTTTTAGATGTCGTTCAAGCCACATTCTTTCCTCGTGCACTGTGTGGCAGAAAATGTTTAGCCGGCCTCGAAGTGGAGTCAGTGGAGTCCAGACTTGAAACCGCAACTCGAGGTCGAGCTCTGGCTTTGTGCGACTCCTCAAGATGGAGCTGAAGAACAAAGGATGTTCCTCTTTCGTGGATGCTGACAACCTCACTGATCTAACGCAGCTCTTCCGCTTTGCGACTTGGAGGTTGGAAAAGATGAGACAGTGTCACTCCTCACCCCAAATCATTCAAAATCCGATATCTTTTGAAGAACAGTAGGGAAAAGGTAATTTGAACCATAATGCAGCTTTGAACGATTTGAGTTAGACAGAGTTAGAATCGTGTCGATTTGAGTTAGAGAGCATTAGAATCGTGTCATGAAACATGTCCCTATATATATTTATTTTAGTCTCAGACGTGTTATTGATTTCATTGATTCTCATCCAAACTGTGCGAGATCTTGGGCCAACGAAGCATCTGACTGGTTACCTAGGTGAGTAGCGACACTCAGATGGTGATCTTGGTTGGAACTCCTGGCGTGCTGAAACGGAAGTGGTGTCTCGGGGAGATCGCAACGGCTTACTTAGCCAAGGTGGGGGTCCGGATTGGCGTCCAGCATGTGTCAGCCAGGTCGGTAAGTCAAGTTTGGCGTAGCCATGCATACATAGCCATGTGTATATTATAGTCATGCGTAGCCTCCCAGACTTTTTGGGCCCCTGGGTTGTTTTCGCTTCCAGAAACACAATAGGTGGAGATGACGATCTTGAGCTTTCCAACTTTTGAGATGCCGGACGAGCTCTTCATCTCAAATTATCACGAGATTGTCCCTGAAGTGGTGGAACTTGCCGTGTATGGTTTGGGGCTGTCAGAGGTGCAAATGGCCTTACGCTCATTGAAGCAGTTGAAAGACATACCCGTTGGCGATTCATTCTCAAGGGGCCGCTTGAATGAAATCGTCGACATCCTCACCAGGGATGTGGAGACGTCTTCTACACCGCTTACCCCCAAAACCCACAGTGGGCGCATCATGACGGCTTCGAACACAAGCTGGACAGACTACATCATCTTGGCGGACCCCGGCAATTTTGATGCAATCGCCACTGCCGAGGTCCTCGGTCGCTTTATGGTGAGCAATTTACCGGAGAAGGGCCTATCTCCATGTGTCTTCACAGTGGAAGATGATATCTCCAAGGAACAGGGTCGCCGATGAGGAAGCACATTCGGAAACGTTGTTCAACCGCTTTGACCCCTTCCAAACCTCTCCATTCAGGTAGTCAATGTGTGTGTGTGTGTGTCCGCTCCTGCTGCCAGGACACTTCCAACATCGTGCTCCTGTTGTCAGAGAAGTGTTTCCACTCGGAACACATCGCTCACTGGCTTCTACAGTCCCGGGTTCCAGACCCCAAGCTCTTGCCAGTGATGGCAGATACCAAGTTTCAATTTCCAAACTCCACTGAGCTTCGCAGTGCTTCAATCACTTGCCGAGTGGATCATACTGCCTACGCTCAAGTGATCAAAGCAATCCTTCTTGAAGTGGCACCTCCTTTCATTTGCTCTGAGAGCTCAGAAGTGGATCTGTTGATCCGGAGCCGGCAAATTTGTAACCGCTTGTATGGGGATGTAAGGCTTTTGAGTACCAAGATGGTCATGGTGGGACCAGCTCACACCTCTGAACGAGAAACCGATGCTGAACCTGTCTTAGAAAGTTCGGCAGGCCCAGCCGACCGCCCAAGCGTCACCTTTTCCCCTGTAGAGAGTTCGAATCTTAGTCTTCAGCTGTTGAACCGCGGCACCAGCAGCAGCGCACAGAAACAGACCGTCGGCGAAGCCGATGCCGTCTCCACGGCAGAGGTACATTTGGCCTCTGAAACCATCAGTCAAGCTTTTTGAAACGCCAGATTCGGCCAGTGTTGATCCAAGATCAGGTGGCCCGAAGTATCAGGTGATACCTGTTCGATGTGAAAAAAATTCACGGCGAATGTTCGGCGAATGCAGCAAGAGCGTTTCCTCCGTTTGGCAGATTGAGCTCTATCCCTGCATGGTTCTATGTGGACTACTGTGTGGACTTGCCAGACATAGCTAGATGTCGGATGATTCTATATTCAAAATATAATGTAACAGTAACATACATATATGTACTGTATATATTATTTAGGAGTTGTTTCTTCCACAGAATGCTTTGTGAACTGGCGAGTTCATGTTCAGTTGTCCTGCGAACTTGTTGGAGTGTGACCTTTTTTTCTGTTTTTCAGCAGCTCTTAGGCTCTCGACACGAAATCTCCTCGTCCACTTGAATGTTTGGCCAGTTCTGCTGTTTGCAGATTTCCGCTCGTAGATCGAAGACCGTTGCTTATCTTGTTTTCCTAATCTTGATCCTCCCTTGTTGCTTCGCCAGGCTGAAGAGTAGCCCAGAGCTTCTCCCGAAAGGCGGCGGCGCTTTTTTTGCCGTTGTTTGCAGATTTTGAGTCGTGGTGTGCTTTAGATGGATTGCAGACTGGCACTGGATCAAACTGAGGGACCCCCCTTGCCACTGCCGAAGCTTTCCGTGCCGGCACGGACCCGTTGGTTCGTCTCCGCAGTGTTCCCGTTGCCGTCAGGCGCTTCAAAAGGAGCGCCACCACCGGTGAAAGGAGCGATGAAACACGGGGCGAGGCGGACTTCGGCGCACTTCGGCGACGAACTGAGGGAAGATCGCCCGGATGCGATCGGCAGGGATGGTTAGATGAGATTGTTTGCCCAGCGATGTTCCAAATTCAAGTCCTTTTGGCTGGCAAACAGCAGTTGGGCAAGTGGATGATCCGCCCTTTTGTCGTTCGAGTTGGTTGGTGAAAAACGCCTACTTCACGAAGACTGGCTCTTGCTTTCTGTTTCAAGTGCGACACGTGAATTTAGGCATAGTCACTCGAGCGTCAGTGGCACAACCCTGCGAATATTTAACAGCACGTTCTTATTTTTTCAGTGTTCTTGAACCTCTGGGTGTTAAGTATTCCGGAACCAGCTTCTACACCCAGAGGTTCAAAAGTGTACAAAAGTGTTAACTGCTTCCGAAATCCGGCCTTGTCAGGCCGATGCCGCTTTTGCTCCGCCGGGGCTCTGAGTGGGTGTTGGCAACGGTCGACTCGTTTCGACTCACACGATGTGTGTCGCTCGATTGGCCAGAGAGTGTCAAGCCGTGAAGCAAATGCTGTCGGCGCTTCGCGTTGAGCTTTGGGCTCAAAGATATTTGCCGGTCAACCTCTGATTCCGCGGCGCTGATGACGCCCTCGTGGCTCTCGCATCTCATGCACCTCATCGGTCAAGAATCAAGCGGCTATGAAAACCTTGCACCCATCAAAGCAGGGCCGCCAGGTGAGGAGTGCGAGACTCTGGAGGACTTGCACAACTATGTCTCCAAAAGGCAGAATGCGGCTCAGGAGTTCAACGTTCTTGAAGCCGAAATCGAGGAGTACTATAAGGATCGTTATGAGGGCGACCCCCACTTCGTGTGCATCTCTGCACTGCAGGAGTTGTTCATCAAGAACAAATGGATGGAGAATCCAAAGGGTAGGAAAGATGAGAAGGATGAGAGGGATGACATGAAGATGAGAGTGCAAGAAGAGTGGTATCACAAGTACTTGAAAGTCTTGTTTGCCGCCTTGAATGTGTTCCTTGGGACAATCATTCAACTAGGTTTGCTCATCGGCGTTGGATCCGAACACTTTTGGGCTGATGCCGACAAAGAGATCAGCACACGCTTCTTCTTGTTTGTATGCGGATGTGCAAGCCTTGCCTTTGTGGCTCAAGCTTCCACAGAGTTTCGAGAATGTTGGGACATGAATGTTGTAATCCTCACTGGAAATCTCCAATGCCGACTTGCTTGCTGGGTCCTTGTATTGCTCCCGAAATTTGCCTTCGCCTTTGCCTTCAACTTTTGTGCACCACTCTTATTTTTGGATGCCACTCAGAAGACTGACATCATTTTGAATTGCACAGGCTTACTCTTCATGCTTCAAGTCGACAACGACTTCTTCAAGGCTTACGGAGGCAAGCTGCACGAACAGGACTTGAAAGCCCTCGTGAGCCGAGTGAGGCACGAGAACTATCCGGTATCAAAAGCCTACATGGACCCCAAGACAGAGAACAAGAAGCTCCAGTACGCGAAGGAACATGAGTGTTCAAGAATTTGGCGCACCGTCCTGAGCACCTGTTTGTCAACAGGGATTGCCTTTTCAGGCTTTTGTTGGTTTAAATATTTTGTTTTCCAGAAGAAGGTAAGCCAGGGTAATTAACCTTTTAAGTGTGCCCTTCTGCCAACACTTTGCTTGCGTTGGGCCAAGCTGGAAATGCTTCAGACACATGCAAACTGACATCAACTGTTGAAAGTGTTTGCCATCATTTGGGGGGGCTCAACAACAGCCACCGAACCTCCATCGACCGAAACCGTGGCTTTCGGGTGGCACGGAAAGCAACTCGGGTGTTTCCAGGCAGATGCACCAGTCGAAAAACCGCACGTTAATGTGTTTCACCGGGCACTTCTTTGATGGCGAAAAGCCCTTCTGGCGCCGGTGTGAGAATTCACACTGAAGCTAGGCCCACCTTAGGTGCGCCCAGCAGCTGCGCCCAGCGCGTTGTCCGCGTGCGTTGTCCTTGTCTTATGACATCCAGCAGCCTGCCATGTCATGAAAATTGTCTTGCGGCAGATTCCTGGGTTGCAACTGCAGCTCCAACGCCTGCGGCTTGAGGATCTTTAGGTTTAGTTCAAAGCTTGCCAAGTGATTTGTGTGTAAAATGTGTTTTCATTACTCAATCGTCACTCACGTGTCATGACGATCACACTTCCGGCCGTGGGAAAGCCACTCGCAGCGGCCACTATCGCGGCCGCTGTCTGGGTCCAGAATGGCTGAGGTTGAAGCAGTTGGTGCTGGGGACTTGGGACGATCGAGACCTCTTTTTTGTCCCACTTCCAGGAAAGGGTGATGCGTCTCAGAATGTGTAACAGGTTGTGTTTGCTACGTTTATGATCGTTTATGTACGTAACAATTGTAACATATATGCGTTCCACGTTAGTGTACTTTGAAGTCTAGCTCTTCTTAAAGACCTTCGAAAAGACATGGTTTTCAAGGATCACAACGGGTGAAGGAACAAAAGATAACAAAAGCTCACCGCGTACATGGCCGACATGGCATTTGAATGTCGTTTGATGTTCACCATACTTTCGAGGTTGGAGCTCATCACTATGCAGATTCAGACGCTCCTGAGCCGAAAGCGTTTCGGATTCCCGCTCAGGACGAGCGCCAGATTGAGTCCCCAAAGGTCGGAAGGGTGTCCATCCCGAGGGTACGAAGATGGAGGATCCGAAGCCAATCCGAAAGGAATTGAAGACGGTCCGAGGCTCGCGAGGAGGGTGGAATTGGCGTTCAACAAGCTGGGTCCGAGGAGGGGTCCTTTTAAGAGGGAGGTCTTCTGACACATCGAATGGAGAATGGGATATAAAGGGCTCACATGTCCTTTCAACTCAAATTGAGTGATAGCACGGCTGAGCAAATGGCAAGCCAACAGCTAGCCATCTAAATAACGGCGTGAACTATGCGCCATGCCTGACACGCACCCCCAAATCATCCTGAACATTCCTGAACTGATTTTAAAAAAGTCCAGTGTGATTAACCCGAGTTTCAACCCAACGTAAATGATTCTTCCAATGGCACCGTGCCTTCCGTTCAGTCCAGCGGCGGGACTGAGATGGACTGATTGAGAGTTTGCGCACCAATCGGGCCGGGCCTTGGTCGATCCAGACTCCAAGAGAGTGATTCCCTATTTGGAATCCGAATCATAATTTGGAAGTTTGGAATCCGAAAACGCGGTCTGCCAAAAGGGTTCAGCCAAGTTGGGGGGAGCCTCAAGTTTGACCTATAGGTGTCATGGTTTCGCACGAAACGGATGTCCGACCATGCGAGTTGGGAACTTCTTTAGCTTGGAACTGGGCCGCGTGGCTTCCAAACTCGGGTCGTCCGTCTCCTGGGTCCGTTGTTGCCTTGAGAAGCCAACTGACACGGAGTCAGATGGAGTCTCTACTGACACTGGGGGTGTGGAAAAAGAGACCGTTTTTGGATTGGTGCCACGAAAGCTAGAAATGAGGAGGGTGGCTGGACCCTAAGGAATCATCTTGAATAGGGGAGCTCATTCCCTCATACCCAACTAAGCTGTGATAGATGTGACACCATCGAAGACCTGGTGGAACTGGGAATTATAAGTGCCCAGAGAAAAGAAAAACGGGCATTGCAGCAAATGTATGGCCCACCATCGCAGCATGTTGACAAAACACGCAAGTTGCCCAGGTTCGGAAAGTAGAAAGAGATCCGACCTTCGGCCTCCCAGGCGTCCGACCCCCCGTCTTTCAGGTTCAGAAAATGGACGAAAATCCGCACTCCGGTCTGCCAAAAGGACCTGCGATCGGTCTCCGTGGTCATGTTTCAGGTGCTTCGCTCCTGGCACTTGGCTCAAGGCTGTACCATGATTGAAGGAAAAGATGACAGAGGGAGCAAGAAGCAGAGTGATTTGTCCAAGCACAAGGATGCGGAGCAAAGGAAGGAGGACAGGAGGGAGGACCGGAGATGGGCTACCACAGAAGTGGAGCGGAGTGAAGTCAAGACTGAGCAAACCGCTCCTGAGAAAGATCACTCTCAGCAAGTGAGTAAGACCGAGGTCGAGCCAAAAGGAACTTGGACAGTTGAGGTCTCGATCGCCGTCTCGGCGCAAAGCTTGGGGCAATTTGTGATTTCACCACTGGACTTGGTTCAAGACTTAAAAGCCAGGATTGCCTCTCAACTTTGCCCAACAAGACCCTGGGCTGTAAATGGGAAACTCTTGCATGGCTCTAGTGTGCTGGAGGAAAAGGATTCCTTGAAGGATGCAGGAGTGGAAGACTCGTCAGACCTTCAGTTCCTCTCACTGATGACAGTTTCCAGAGAGGATGCCCTTCCCAGGAACGAACTCCTTTTGCTTCCAGAAGTTCTGAACCAGGTCTTGAACCCTTGCACCATCAAAGCTTATCAACCAAAGGTGCAGTGGGTCTTGGAGAGCTTTGTCACGAGGGGATCTGACGCAGAACTGGAGCAAGACTGGGCACATGCGAGTGCCAGAGAAGGCGTCCAATGTGAGGATTTGACCAACCCCGAAGGGTCGGGTGCCCAGCAAAGCTCAGAGAGTGAGAATTGGCAGGAAAGTCTACTTTGGTGGATGTTTATCATGTTTTATCAGTTCATCCGAAGGCGTCCTATTGGTGGTATGCGATGTATTGGTGGTTATGCGGATGGAAATAAATAGTGGACGCATTGAGGAGCTGATGGTGTTTCACACTGTCCTTTGATTCAATTCCCAGGAGTCGCCGAAGAACTTGGCATATGGTGATTGATTGGGGAGTCACAGTCGTAATTAATTGATATTCATGGCGAAATCGTTGAGATGTTGAGCTTCAGCACCATCCGTTCCGGATCCGGGCATTGGTCAGGTCTGATGAGCTGTGGCTTTGCTTCAGGGATGGACACCTGGGTGCCTTGAGACACCGGAGACCCGGCATCCAAAGCGGCACGCTGGGTGAACAAGACGACTTTCCGTGTAGCGCGCTTTGCGCGCCAGATGTGTCTAACGATTGGGTCCTATGTGATGACATGTGTTCTTTTGGACGATCTTCATATATGGTTTCTTTCGCACGAACGACATGCCACCGTGTTCAGCTCCTACAGTGCCCAGCTCTGAAGCGGTTTCATGTGCTTCCCGCCCGGTCGGTATAGCCGAACGATCACCTCACTCGGGCTGAGGAAGTATGTGATGACATGCAACTACCAGACGCTGGGTACGAGTGTGAACCGTGAAGCGGTTTCTTTGGGGGGTTGCTTTTATGACTGGTTACGTCCTCAAGGGTGAGAAGTGAGACGATCCACGCGTTGAGAGTTCATGTCACGAGGAAACCTAATGCATCTCAGGAAAGACTCTTCATGCTCGAACTGTCATTGGATTCTATTTATACAGTGACGCTATTTAGTTCTATTATAGGTTGGAGGCCATTGCTAGTAGGCTGGAGGTCATTGCTATTTGACTTAGGTTCTTGTCTTGAGCCTTTGCAATAAGCAACCCCTTGTCTTGCATCGCCTTGCTCTCAGGAAAGGCCTGCTACGCTTGAGCTACTTTGGGCTCAATGATGGATCTTTCGTTCCCAGCGAGGCACCGCCACATGGATGGCACGAAAGGGACTCCGACGGCGATCAAAGGGGTCGGAGCGCTGCGCCGCTCCTGGCACCTATTCTCGGCAACATGAGGCAGAACAACTTGGTCAGCTGGCATTGGAAAGTCAATCGAATTGAGAACAGAATTAGATGAAGCACGCTAGCTAGCCATGCTAAGCCAATTTATCAAATAGCTTAAAATATGCTTAAAATCTTTTGGATTTGATGCATCGCATGAGCCAAAACGACCTGTCGGCATACCTACCGAGCCTGTGGCAAAGGCTAATGGTCTTGAGCAAAGAAGAGGGAAACCGGATTCCAAAAAAGATAAAGGTCGAAGGAGTCGAAGGAACGAAAAAGCATGGATTGAACCTTGCCCTCCCTGTGTTTGTCCAAAGTCTCTTAGGTGACCTGCTTTACGATGGCCTCTCAGCAGTTGGCGTTGCCCTGCTCATTGCTCGCGCTGAAGTCTGAGGGCTTTGAAGTGTTAGAGGTCCTGTCAGCAGATCGGTTGCATGGATTTGGCTTGCGGGTGGCCTTTGACCTGCTGCTCGCTGTGAGGCGCGAGAACCGGGCAGCAGTGACCTGTTCAAAAGGCCCCCCTTTTCTCAAGTCCAACTCCAAAAGGAAGGGCTGGCGCTTGCAGTTTAGAGATTTAGACCCTGGTGAACCACCGAACAACGGCGAACCAAGTTGGAAGATCTGTCGCCAGGTCTGTCAAGACGCTTGAGACGTGCATTGTCGCTGCTTACTTTCACCCTATGATGACCGCTTCCGAGTTCACCGTGGATACGTCCAGCGAAGACTTCTCGCAGAGGTATTTCAACCAAAAGATTTTCCGGAGTCTCCTCGACGCATCGGTTGGTGACAGCATTGATCCTCGAAGTGAGATTCCTTGTGTGCCGAATGGACTTTGGACTTGAAACACTTTAAGCGACTAGTCGCGAGACAACCAGGCACCCTCGAAGGTCCCGGTTCTTTTCAGAAGCCCCAAAGCTCGGTCTCAGCAGTCTCAGCCGTCTGACGGTCTATGTAGCGAGTTGGATGATTTCAAAGCACCAGGAGGGGTGTATTTCAGACATCTTTTCTTAAGATGGGCACTGAGAAGTTTCCGTGCCATGTTCCAACTGTGCCTGCTCTCGTCATGGCGGGCTTGCGCCCAACGGCCAGCAGGGGGCCCAGTGGCAGGCAGCAAACAGGTGAGACTGGTGGTGGTGTTGCTTGTGCTTGTTGGTGGTGTTGTGGCTGTAGCTGTGGCTATGGTTGTGGTGGTTGTTGGTTGTTGTGGTGGTGGTGCTGTTTTTGTGGCTGTTGCGCTGGCCAGACACAGGAAGAAAGAGAAACCACCTTCGGTGGCGTCCTGTGCACTAAACCAGGGCCAGACCCTGCTGGTTGCGCCCGCGGCCACCCATCCAAAAAGAACCCTGGAACATGCTCAAAGCTGCGTTGAAAACGATGCCGTGGGCACCAGAAAAGTAAGACACACTGTAGAGAACATTGGTGCCTACATTGCTTGCGGGCTCCTATTGCAAAAATACATTGACAAAACAGTGGCTTTTGGCTTGGAGATGTTCAAAAGCATTGGTATTTACACTGTTTGGGGGAACCAGGAGATGTTAAATACAGTCTGTGTTGGCTTAGCGATGTTCAAAAATGTCCGTATTTAGGTCTGTATTGCGTTTTCGGTTCCGAATAAGAAATTGAATACCCTGGCTTTCTGCTTGGAGAGGTTGAAAGACATTGGTTTTTACTGTGTTTTGGAGATCCTGCAGCAAAAGCAACTCTTGAAACCGTGGTTTGGCTTGCCGATGTTCAAAAACATCGGTACTACTGTGACTCGATAAGTTCCTGGGCAATGGCCATGTCTCATACGCACGGGCCACACAACGGCTCCACACTCGAATCCATAAGGACAAGGGGGGCGGTCAAGCCCGAGGCCAAATCCCGGGCAGCGCTTTGTCCGGGACAAAAATGTCCACCAAGAAATTAACAATTACATACAATTACACTTTGTCACTTGTTTGCAGGTGTTGGGCAATGTGACGGCTGACCGACATCACCCCAACGCTTCCCAGAGCCCCTCTCAGAAACACGCCGGCCCCGCTCCGTTCGCGATCACGTTCATCGTCCGAGACCGATATCACCGAACGGGGTCGGCGAATTTGTGATCATGTTGGATGTGCAAATAGGCCGGGCGCCGTGTTTTCGACTCGAACGAGGACCAAGTTTTGGTCATGTGGCACATCGACCTGGTGCAGACGCTCCGTTTCACCTTTGGGCCCATTCCTCCTGCCTTTCGAAGCTTCCGCCAGCAGCTTGCAAAGCAATGGCTGCCCGAAAGCCAATCGAGGATTCAGAGTTTCAATCAGCTCTTGCAACATGAGCCTTCGCAGAAGTTGGCAAAAACCACGTGAAAACGACAAGATGACCAACTGCTTCTGGTTGACGCTGCTGGATCTAAGTGGTAAATTGATCAATGCCAGCATGAGCAGGAAAACATGGTGTCTATCAAGGCTGTGGGATATTTTTCCTTCGCTGTTCGTTCGATTGGATTTGCTGGCAAAGGGCCCTGGAAAGAACATGAAAGAACCCAATGTAGAACAGTCCAAGAAGGCTTCCCCAAGATTATGGACCTGGTGTAAAGGACTCCGCAAATTGTCAGATCTCGCAGCCTAAGGAACTGGTGGCCCAGATCCCATTGGAACCTTATTTGTTGGAGCTACCGAAGACGGTCTGTCCCAATCCTTCCTGCCCTGCTGGCTCTGACTGTGCCAAGCATCAACACCTTTTCTCGCTTTCGGTGGCACCTGTTTGCCCCGGTGGAGACCGGTGCAATCGAAACCTGAAGCGCCGGGTTCGCCCCTGCCGGCGCCACCATTGCCGCGGGCCAACAGGTCAGCTGTCAGATGTGGGGTGTCCGTTGTTGCTGGGATGTTTGGGCTAGGAAGGGTGTGGCCGAAAAAATCGAACACGATGTTCCACAGCCTGTAAGAGGAGTTTGTGCCTACCAATTTGAAATGTTTTGCATAATTAGACATGTGTTGATTATTCCTGCAAAGCGACAAGGAAGTGGAGTCGCCTGCAATAGGCCTCCCTACATGGGTGCATGGGCGCATGAATTTGAAACCTTATCCAAGTGGGGATGGGTCGCGTGGGAATGGTAGCTCTTCCTCCGTGTCATCCGAGGTCAAGCTGGATGCAATTGCATACGACTCTGGATCCCAACGGTGGCTGGTGCTCGATGGTCAGCGAGCCGTGCGAGCCCAAAGGGCAAGGCCAAAGCGAAGAGCAAGAAGAAGAGCTATGCTGCTCGGGTCAAAACTGGAAATTTGAACCACATAGGCCTAGTTTAAGACTCTGTTTTCCTGGCCACAAACCATCGAAGTTTCATCGATAATGGGAGTATGGAGTTAAATTATTCACTCGCCACATTCTCAACACCGCAACGATCTAACGGTTCTTGGTGCAAAAGAGGCCAGCAGGGTCAACAAAATCCCAGGTCTAGCTTGATTGACAATTGACATCAATTTTTTGGAATCAGTTGAACTTGAACCGCCGGGCGGTGCTTTTCCCCACTTTCATTTGGCGGAGGTGAAAGTGAGTGCATGCCATACTTGGCCATACTAGTCGCCAACCTGCCACCATCGCAAATCTTCCGGTCAACTCCCGGCCACTGCCTCTCCCTATTGGTCGCCAACATGGCTCTCTTGGTCGCCCCCCGGCGAGGGATACGCGTTCATTGGGCGGAGGGGCGGGTTCTGCCATCCAAGGTCGAGGCGGAGGACGAAGAGATTGGAGGCCTGGAGAAGTTGAGGAGCTTCCTCAGTGGCATCAAGACAATCTGATAGACAGACTGAGACTGCCCATGGCAACTGCCAACCGGGTCGAACGAAGTACGAAACCATTTTTCTGTGTTCTCCCGACCGGAAGTCATTGGTGACACGGCCTTTTTTTTTCACGCTCCCGAATTGTGGGAAAAGGCAGTGGAGCGGCTGGGATGCTTCATGTGATCTTCCGTCAAATCAATCCCTGTCGTGAATATTGAAGATTGAACCACAAAGCGGGCAGCTTCGTTGAGTTCCCCTGAGCAACAGCTAGAGATGGTGAGAGACAAGGTTTGTGTATACTTGGGATTGCGTCTCGCGATTACCATCGATTACCTAATAATATGAGCACTGCCATTGTTACTTTGTATTCTGGACCACTGTCGTTTACTACATGTCATCTACATACCGTGTTTTTGGAGTGTTGGTTGGAGCCGCTCGAGCTGAAGTGGTCCTCTTGTTTCGAGAAGCAGCTACACCAGACAGGAAATGGGTGAAGGACAAGCGCACCGCTCCATCTTTACTGGTCCAGTCAGGTCTTGAGATCACTGCAACTGGCAACAGTGGGCAGAAGCAACCGTACAAATCTTCCGAAAAGTGCTTGAAAGACTTAGCAAATCTCAGCTACCCATACCAGTTGAAGGTGTATTTGAGAAGACCCTACAGGCAACACTCAATTCAAGCTTTTGACGACTGCAAATTTCAACTTCAGAAAGTCTGGCCTGCTTGCTCGCAAAAGACACCGTGAATCCCAGGTTTGGGGGGGGTACCCCCTTTGCTTCACATCACATGCCACCAACAAGCTTCTGAAGATTTTGCCTTAGCCCACGTGGCTCAAAGCTGCCTGTCAAAAAAGACTCTTCAAAAGCTTTGGGAGGATGATTTAGAAGGCTTTCCTTCTCGGGTCAATGCGAACATGGTCGGTGTGACCATCTTCGCGGCCGCTTTCCTCGCGTTCCGAACTGGTGTCACGTCCGAACTTTGTCTCCCTGGTGGCATCCCAGATGCTGAGCAACTTGGTGTGGAGCAAAACAGGAGCAGAGCTTTCCTATAGTTGTATAGTTGTCCCATGTTGTCCCTAGCCAAGTCATTGTTGGGGTCGATTGTTGCACAGCACGTGTCTTGTGACAAGAGAAACGTTCTTGGAACCTGGAACTGGTGGCGAAAAATACTGCTGATTGTGAAAAATGAAGTGGAGTTGGAAGAATTAATTGAATCTACATAGCTATAAAAGAGTATTTAGCAAGAGACCCCAAAAAGTATTGTGTACAAGAGCACTCTAGAGCAAACACATCAGAGCACACATGTGAGCAATCCACGTGAGAGTGCACATATGAGAGCACCAGAGAGAGCAAAGCACACACATGACACCACTTTGAGGTGTGCACCGGCCACAAAATCTGCGCGTGAGGTGAGGTTCAAGTAGCGCTGCGCCTGCAGTGTTCACAAACCCACAAACCACTGCTCCTGCCAAGGAGTTTGCACTTCAAGGATCACAACGAGTGCTGCACTGGCTGCGAAATCTGCATTTCGAGATTCATGGAGGGATGCGCCCCTGCCACGAAAATTGAGCAGCGCTCTTCACAAATCAACCTGCTGCACTTGCCACGAAGTCTGCGCCGCAAGGTTCATAGAATGATATAAACTGGTGTGTGCGATCGAAATACTAGCTTCCCCGTGGGGGTATGTGATAATATGTGGACAGTCAGGTTCTAGGTTATAATACAACAACTCGCTGTGTAGAACCAACTACCTGACGCCAATGGAACCCTGAATCTGGCAAACAACTGCAAGGAAGCTTTTTGCTAAGCAAAAAAAAAACTGAAAAGTCCAGCTTACTGTCCAGCTTACAGTTCTTCAAGGATAGGTTTGGAGGCCAGAGAAACCCAGGTGACCGCAGTATGTTTCAAAAAGTAAGTATATTAAAAAGAAATAGATGACTGATGGAGTGCATTGAAGCAGGATCAAAACCCAAACCCTGAACTGTCAAATTGGCATTCTGACCAAGGCAAATACTTGTTCATGAGCTGGAAGGGATTGCTACTCATTCAACAATGGTATTTACAGGTGTCTACCCAAAAAAACAGTATTATTATGTACATTGGAAATTTTTAGGGCCCGCGACGCTTCCTTTGCAACTTGCAACATCATTTGGCTTAATAGAACATAGATATTAAAACAAAATAGTCCGACACCTTCTAGTCACATCATATATTGAGAATACTTAGGGGCAAGTTGAGATTAACTGCGGGCAGTTGTTTCAGGCGTGTATTTGCCAGACAGAAAAGTAAGCACATCAATGACTCACACAAAACAAAGTGCTGTTGATCTTTCGCCGCCCTACCGACACAAATCATAATTGGTGTTTCCGCAGCATCCTTTCAGCTGCAGGAACATTCAAAGATGACATGCCTCAATGATTCTTTTAAGAACTTCATTGAAGTGGCAAATTCAAAACTCTGGGTTGCCCACAAGAGCAACGTTGCAATGAACCGTGCCCTGGTATTTTTTTCTCCGCTGACTCCATGAAAAGCACCGTTGTTGGCGCTATCTGAACTATTGCTGGGCCTTTGTTGGGACTTTCCCGGTCAAAGCAATTGTCAACATTTTTTCATCGTGAAGAACAAAGGTGAGTTGCACTTTGTAGCCGCCTTCGTCAGACAAAGGAACCATCTCCAGCGTACTCTTCGATCAACGTGGCAGCGAGCTTCACCAAGTGCTTTGCCTGCTACGAAATCTGTGAAGTGAGGTTCACAAGTGCTGCGCGTGCCACGAAGTCTGCACTGTGAAGATCTTTAGGTTGACAAATTAAGTGCTGCACCTGCTACGAAATCTGCACATCAACATTCACATCGTGCAGCCCTGCCACTGCGTCTCACGACACAAAAACTTCCAAAGACAAGTTGACAAGTTCAAGATCCCAAAACGAAGCTATGGCACGATACTTCTCCCAGTGTCCAGAAACGAGCCACATGTCTAAAGTTCCCAATTCACTGCACCCGCCAAGAAGTCAGAACATGCCAAAGACAAGTCCAAAGCGCTGCGCCTGTCACAAAAAGTCGACTTCAGACGACCAAAACACGAGGGTTGATCCCCTTGAGCTTGCCACGAAAAGTGACAATCAAGAGCCAGTCGAGGAAAGCACCCGCTCCAGCCCGCCAGTTTGTGTGAGACTATGCGGTCGAAGTGCACATCGAAGCATGAATGTGTTGCGCTAGCTTTTAATGCCGTTGCACCCTCGATCAAACTCAGCAAGAACGCCAAGTGTGACCACATTTCTTGGAGAAAATTGTCTAACGCCTGACAGGGACCTTTCTTCAAGTGACCAGCCTGGCCAACATTGAGATAAAGATCAAAGAGGTATTTGTGCTGCGTCCATGTTCCTTTCAATTCTTTCCCAGTCCGATACGGGGCCCCCGCATGTTCGATCGCAACACGCCACTTAGGCGGAAGGAGTTGTCCAACGGAACCGAAAGCTACCCAGTTGGGATTTTTCTGGTCGACTACGCTGCTCAACACGCCACGGCGGAATTGGTTGCGATCTTACTCCAGGAGTCCGGTCGCGTTTGGGAAAGCATGGGTACAGGCTGCCAGCCAGCTTCCCAAAGGCTGGCCGCACAAAAACTGGGTGAAGCCGGTGGAAAAGCATTTGCAAGCAGGTTCTGCTAGGAGCGACTCAAATAGGTTGTTGGCAGAAATGTCATTCTTCATGCTGGCGCTTGTGGCACGCAAGTGACCGGGAAGCCAGCATGTAAGATGAACAGGAAAGGCCTTTGGGCCACGGCAGTTCCCTGAATTTTGAAACTTGAATCACGTGTTTGCTAGTGAGCAAGGCCTTCCGAAAGTAGGATAAGACCCTCTCCGCCGTGGAAATAGATTCCTTGAACAGTAGAGTGGAATACAGACAACACCTGCTGGCGCCCTTTTTTCATTTTTTACCCAGCCAAGTAGGTGTTCACCCGCACCGGCGCCGCTTCATCGCAAGCCGGGCTTCGCTGTGAAAGGAGAAGCTTGGCTACAAAGTGAAGAGGATGATTGACGGCAAGCTCACGTCCGATGCCTTCTACGCCCTGGCAGGTTGCCTCCAGCTCCTCGGAAAGGAAAACAAGACACCGGACCAACGGGAGGGCGCCCTGGCACCTCCGGCTTCGATGAAATGCTCCAAGGACCTGACGTGAATCGTTGACACATTGAAAGAGCTCAATGGGTCCATATTTCACCATCTTTGCACATCTAGCACGGGCAGGTCCTCCAAATTCCTCTTTTGCACATATGAATCAACTTGTCCAGAATAGTCAACCAGCACCTTCAAAGGGGTCACCTGGCTGGAAGCCCCTACACCACTAAGGGGCCTCCATTGGACTCCAGGAATCTACTTTATGATCACCTGGATCCTGTGCTTCGATGTGAAACAGTCCATCATGGAAAGACCCGGCACCCGGTCGGACCACAAATATATCAGATAAGTGTTGTTTTCCCTGCTGGAAGATATTTTTTCAGGAAATGTGAAGGATCACCTCATAGAAAAGTATGAATTCTTTGTCTGTACCGACCCTTGCATGGTGGATCAAGCTCTATATAATTGGGTGTTGGTAGCAAAAGAAACTCCTTCCAGAGTTTTCAGATGATGATCTTGACTCTTGACTATTTGTAATTAGCCAATTCTACCACCCCAAATGGTATAGAATGGTCAGGTCCCCAAAGCATCCAATCTGTTCCGTTTCTTCGTGGGCCCTATCGCTGCCCAAACCTAGGCCCTCGGACAGTTCCAACCGGAGATGCGGCGATCAGATGCAGACCCGTGCGCACATCAGCGTGGAGGGCTGGACCTCAGGAGTCACACTTCGGCACGTGGCTCTAAGTGAAAGACACGACTGATGGGTGTTGGAAATGCCGATCCCCACTGATCATGGTGCCAGGGGGGTCGGGGCGACACATGTGGCTGTCCTCAGTCCCATGAGTCGGGTTTGGGATTGGTGAACGTCGACACCTCCAGGCTTGGTCCTCGTAGTCTCGAGACTTGTCGTTGTGCATATCGTGAAACCGGCTTCGGGTTCCAGGTTCGGCCATGTACTTCTCTTTTGGGCCACCACGTGGGTTTGGTTTTTGGGGGAGGAGCATGAAATCCATGGTTTGAGCTCGGGTGAGTAGATTTGGGTTTCCAGTAGACCACTGGGATCTGGAGAACCTCTAGCTAGTCTCGCAATAAGACTTGAAGACCATGGTTCACAATTTTGCCACAAGAAAGGCTCAAAGGATCTGTGGAAAGAGAGCAATGCATCGCAATGCAATCACTGTGTCGCCAACGGATTTCTTCGTCTTCCGAGACCCATTGCCTGGTTCCGAGACTGGTGTCTTTCCGTGATTGGGCGGAAGACACACTGCTTGGCGCAGGATATCAAACAGAGTGGGACGAGCTTCAGCGAAACTCTCCATCCTTTGCTCCCAGGATGCGCTGCGCTCGTGAAGCGCGGTCGCGACGCCGATGGAACATATGAAAACATGGACGTCCCGATCGATGTCCCGGCCCTCGCCTTCCGTTCGACCATGAATATAGACTGAACTGTTTTTGTAGTGTAAGAGTGTAAGAGACGTTGTAAAACATTGTAAAACAATGGTTTGTTGGGTGAAGGCTTTTGAATTCATGGTGCTTCTACTGAACTGCGGGCCACGCACGTGTGACACTGAGCAGATCCGCAGGATGTTGTGTGACTCCAGGGTCTAAGGATCTTGTGAACAGATGAGAAGACGGTGAGGCAAACGGTGTGTGGTATTGCTGACCAAAAACAACGGATAGACACGGTTTCATGCCGGTGTCACTTCTGCGAAAAAGCCAGCCAAAGACAACGCCCAATGCCCAAAGACAAGCCGCAAGCGGCCGGAAGCTGAACCCCAAAGAGTGTCGAGAATCCTCGGTGACACAGAAGACAAAAGCCGTAGCGCCGCCTCATTGAAAAGAAGCTCTGGTCGGCTTCGCTCTGGATCAATCAAAAGACGGCGCCGCTTCTCCACCCAAAAACGCATGCGTTTCTCCATCGCCTTGAGCCGCCATCGCCAGGAATCTGGGCAACATGGGATATCAAGGCTCTGCTGGAATGTTCATTTCAGCCACTGTGCAGGACCGATCCAACCCCCAGCTGGTCGGATGAACGGTCGGTCGCCGGGACGGGAAGCAACGGGAAGGGATCCTTGTTTGGAGGTCGGCATGCCCCAAACATCGAGCATCAATGAGCATCACGTGTTTTCCGATCCTTGCAGCGTGTGTTTTGGGCCTTCTTCGTGAAGTATAAAACGTACAAGGACGAAAAGCTGTGAGGGGGTGGTCCGCCTGGGACATGTGAAATGGAGCCCGAGCTGACGATCCAAGTCTCACCGATCGAAGCGATTTTCGGTTCTGGAGGTCAGCTGGTACCTTCACCAATTAATGTGATCACAGGCGTCCGAAGGTTTCGGAGGCAAATCTCAGATCAAATGTCTCATGAATTCTCAAACATAGCAACAGTCATCAATCCACCAAGGGATATCACATAGAATATATGAAACTATGAAACGATGGGGATTGTTGCCTCAAGTTACTATTCAACAGCCAGGAATAATATATTCCACGCTTAAAGCTTCTGCGAAGCCTTTGGCCATTTTGGCCCCTATGTGTTTTGCCAGGAAAAGGCTTATCGAAGCGAGGGCTTGTCCTTGGACTTCTACAGAGTTCCTCGGCAAAAAGAGGGTGTAAACAGTGTGGGTGGTCATTTATTGGGGCGAGGAGGCCATTGCTTTCAGGTTGGAGGCCATCGCTCCTAGGTTGGAGGCCATCGCTTTCAGGTTGGAGGCTATGGCTCTTAGGTTGGATGCCATCCCTCCTAGGTTGGAGGCCATCGCTTTCAGTTTGGAGGCCATCGCTCTTAGGTTAGAGGCCATCGCTCGTGGGAGGTTGGAGGGAGTCACTCTTGGGTTGGAGGCCATCGCTCCTACTAGCACTTGTGTTAAGTCGTCTGGTCTTGTAGAAGTCGTCTGGATGCTGCGTTTGCAATGGGGTTAGATGCAAGATGGCAATATAACTGGAAGAGTGTCAGGTCAACAACATTGTTTGGATGCTGCGTCTAGAGTCTAGATGTGGTTTAGGTGCAGGCAATCTATGTTTAGGGGCTAATCTTCACGATAGTCCTGACCTTGCGTTCTGATTGGGGTTTGGTCACCAAAACGCTGCAAACTTCGACATAAATCTAGTTCTTTCCTGCACAGGGGCAGTGAATTCTTGATGTATAGCAGTTTTGACAAACATACTTCCGTAGAGCATTTACATTGTGTTTTAACATAAAACGGGTGACTTTTGACTAATGCTGCGTTTACTTGCGGCCAGGTGACTTTCTGCAAACCCGGGTGACTAAACCCCAGCGCTAGTAGGTTGGAGGCCACCGCTTTCAGGTTGGAGGCCATCGCTCTTTGGAGGCCATCGCTCCTAGGTTGGAG